AAAATTTATCTATAATGTTATATATTTATTTATTTAATATCATATTATATTTATTTAATATTACATTATAATTATAAATTTATAATATTATATAACATTATAACTATTATAATTATAATATTTTTTATTTTAATTACATAATAAAAAAATAACCTTCTTTCATTATTTATCTCATCTAATTTATATATCATACAACTCCAACCATTACCTTATTTAAGTTCGTTGACTATAGCTATAACATTGTTACCACCCTTATGAGACTCATTCTAATGTTAAGAGATTCACAGAAGAAGACTCTTAAAAAATTATGTTTTATTTAACCTACGTATCTAAAAATTAGGAAAATAAATAAGAAACCGGCTCTCCTGTGTTAGGGGTTAAGCCCTATTGGAGATGACCTAAAGACTATTGTCAGTGAGACCGGAGATCACTGAGACGACTACTAAATACTAAAGCGTTACACGCAGTTTTCCAAGGAAATAGCATTTGAGCCGACTCATTGACACTAAGAATTATGAGCACAGTCAAAAGGGAAAAACGGCTTTATAAAAGAAAAATAAAGGTCAGCACACAAAGCAAACCACTTTTTGTTTTTTGACCATCACAAAGGAAGCCACTTATTGGGAGATGTACACAGTATTTAACAAGTGGCAAGTTCACTATCACCAGAGTGCGGATTTCGATTAGAAAGAAACCTTGATGCCGAGTAAAGCCATTAACTGAGAAATGAACTCAGGGTGGCCTGGCCAAGCAGCTCCAGTAACCAAATTTCCATCAGTAAAGCAACGATCAATCGGATTAGGCTCTAACCAAATTGCTCCTGACAAGACAACGTTCAGTTTCACAGCAGGGTATGCAGTGCACTTCTTTCCCTGAAGGACAACACAAAATTTTAAGATCGACTCGACAGTGATCAAGAGGAATGTCCATGATTCTGTAACTAGCTAGTAAAAGAAACACGAGTTTTCAAAATCATAATAATAATAATGAATAGCCAAAACTACATCTCAAAGAGGAGACTGAATTGTATGAGGTTCTTAGTTCTTTCCAAAAATAATGTGGTCATAATTTTTCCCAACAAAAAAATATCTTCTAAGGAAGTATTCCTCCAACCAACCTAATTTGTTGTTTTGTTAGGGAAAAGGAAAGGAAAAACAAATTTCAAAGCTTTCAATCCAGAAACAAAAAAATGGTTATTTTTTTCCAGCTAGGAAAGGCCAGATAACACACCATAAGATGGTTCTTTGCTATCTAGAATAAAGAAAACATAATGAAGAGGAAAATTAAATCAAATGCAAGAAGTCTCACAACACACACAAAGTCTACACCTCCCTTTGTAGTCTCCTGCTGATCTTCAGTTTTGATTATAACTGTATGAGTATGCACTAGACTCCAAAGTCCTAACACAGTATTTACAATATGGCTTAAGAGAGTACAATATACAATCCATTACACTCCTAACACAACCTAGGTGATCCGCAACAATGTACAAACATCTATAGCACATCCAATTGGTTCCTAACCATTCATTCTCAAGATTTTAAGGCACCAAGCTTTTGTGTAAGTATTTGGTATTGTTACCTCTACTTCACCAAAATGAAGTAATAAGAATTGTATTTCATTATGAACTCCCCTTCAATTCTTTTACACAGTCGTGGCTCTAAAGACATGAACCCACACTTTTGTGCAGGTCAGCATAAACATTCTGTTCTTGCACCACAATAAGAACCTAAAATTTTCTACAATTACCTAAATGTTACTAAGGAGAGTCAGAAAATATGTTCGGTGTGTGTAGGATTGTAAAACTTATGATTTAATCTGCCCTAGGCTACTATAAGATGGTTCATGACTGATACAGCATTCAAGACTTTGGGAAATGTATTAGGAATAATTGACATGATTTCTTGAAGCTTTACACTACATTTCTTCCCAAAAACAAGAGTGAAAGAAAAAAATATATTAACTTATTCCCATGAAAATGAATGCCATCTCCAAACTTCATTCCTATATCTCCAAGATCCAAGTGGTTGTTTTTTGTACTTGAAACATATGAAGTATATAGCCAAATTGTAAAGATAAGCTTTCCTTCTTAAGAGCAAAGCCAGAAATATTACCTTCAGAACATCTGCTGCGGCTAAAATCTGTTGTCCGTGGCAAATCGATGCCACTGGCTTCCTGGACTCCATGAATTTCTTCACTAAAGCAATCACTGTCCTGTCTAATGCCAAATATTCTGGTGCTCGACCCCCAGGAATAACCAGTGCATCATAACTTGAGGCATCTATGTCCTCAAAATTGGCTGTTAGAGTGAAAGGATGGCCTGGCTTCTCACTGTAAGTTTGGTCACCTTCAAAATCATGGACAGCAGTTGGGCAGGTTTCACCAGCCTTCTTCTTTGGGCAAACTGCATCAACATGGCATTCCAGAGCTTGCAGAGACTGAAAAGGAACTGTCACTTCATAATCTTCCATGAAATCCTGCAAATTTAAAAGAGGAGCAATGGCATTAAGCAACCGTAACAGAGCAAACCTCTCAAGAAAGTTTCTTTGAAATAAATGCTATTTCTAGATAACAAAATGGAAACTAGCACATCATTTGCCAAATTTCTCTTCCAGTTAATCTTAATTTTTTCCAGTGCTGGACAGTAAGAGCAATCAAATAACTTCCTACCAGAAATTCAAGTTTGCAAACAACAAAGCAACACAAACCCATCTTTTCAATGCATTTGGTACATCATAAGAGCAATCTAAATTAATGGAGACAAAAGAATTAAAGAGACAAAAAGCATTTCAAACTCTCATTTTCTTTGGTTAAATAATCATTGAGAAAATTTATGTTGGCAAAGGCTCATGATTTAATTGAAAACTTATAGGATGCTGTGCCGCAGCTGCCTAAAATGGTTTCTGCTATACTTTTTATAGGACCATACATTCTCCCTTTCCTTGGTTACATTGAACTTGAATTGATCCAATGAAATGTGAACTTACACCACAAAGAAATAGAATCCTTCTGTCTGCACCCTTTATGATGCCACCAAGTGCTTTCACAAAAAGCCGAATGAACTCAGGATGCCCCTCATAGGTAGCCCCGGTAATGATATTACCATCAATAACACAAGCTTTATTGGTTTCAGGTTCCACCCATGATGCACCAGCAGCAATAAGTGTAGGCCCAACAGGAGCAAATGCAGTGCATTTCCGACCTTTGACTACGTCAGCAGCTGCCAATATCAATTGACCATGGCAAATAGAGGCAATTGGCTTTTGAGAATTGGAAAATTTCTTTACAATGTCTACCACTGATAAATCCATAGCAAGATATTCAGGAGCCCGTCCTCCTGGAATAACCAACCCATCATATTTGCTGATCTCAATTTCATCAAAAGTTGCATTGAGTGTAAAATTGTGACCCCGTGACTCGGAATAAGACTGCAGCCAGTGAAAATGCCAAATGCTATATATCAGAAAAAGGGAAAAGTTATTGGAACTCACTAATAATATCTTTTAACATTACTTCCTCTAAAAGTACCTATTGTTATCCCACTAAATAAACAGAAATAAATAGCTGCATCGCAAAAATAAATCAAATTTCTATAAACAAATATCCATCATATTTCTCCCCAAATACTCAAGTTAAAAAAAGAAATTCACATAAATAATACTCTGATATCAATAACAGAATTAATATCATAAAATTTAACTTAACTTCATACCAGAAAAACTCCAAACAAAGGAAAATCATTCTAGATTGAATGGATGAACGGATCGATTTTTTCTTTGTAAAGAAAGGTGACCTGGCCGAGAGGAATATGAATGGCGGTGCGGCAAATATCGCCGGCCTTCTTTCCGGGGCAAACGGCATCGACAGCAACTCCGTAAGCAAGCAGTGCTTGGAAAGGCACCATTACCTGCAGAGAAACACCTTTTAGAAAAGATTCAAAACTCACAAGCTAAATTCCAAAGATTAAAGGGAAGAAGAAGGCACCTCATAGTCTTCCATGTAGTCTCCACAGAGGAGCAGAACAGTTTTCTGCGGCTTCGTATTCGCCATTTCTCTTTGCTTTGTGAGGAAGAAGAAGAAGCTGAGATTCTACCACGTTCTGCGATGAATCCAGAACTTCGGATGATTTGACCGTATTAGAAGCGCTTCACAGAAGCAAGTGAACTCTGGATAGCAATGGGCTTTTATGACATTTCACATACACACTTCTTCGCCACTCAGACATCACGTGGCCACTTCTCTTCACACGTGTCGCCATGATCTTCGACGATTTTTTTTTCCGTGCATATGCTTATTTTTAGGTTAAATCCTCAATTTGGTCCCTAAATTATTGTATGAGCCCCTGATTTGGTCCTAAACTAAAAAAATTC